TCCCTTAAAGAAACATAATGTTTTGTTTGTTTGATGGGGAAACCATATGAAGTTGTAAAGTATGTTTGTGCTGTGTGCTGATAATGACTGGTACACATGTACATACGCTAAAGGCACAGTTGAAGAATGAAGATAATTTTTATGGATACACAACTTCTTTTATTCTGTGAAAGGTGACATTTCATATATAGGTCCGCCTCCTATTCCTCGCTGGTTTCTATTCTCGTGGTAAACACGTTTTCTGCCGAAATCGCCGATTTATGACACTTAGCGGTTGTTTACATCAACGACTGGTAACTAGGAAGTGGCCCAAGTCTGTGAGTGAACAAAAATCTGCAGTGTCACGAATATTGGGAGTTTATACCAACTTGGATATTATCATTACTTTTTTCCCTTCCCTCCGCAGGATTGCTTTTACATACACTCAATAACGCTAATTCCTGGTAATACTGCGAGAATGGGAGAAGCCTTGTTTCATCAATGGCGGATGGCATTGTTTATCACCGGCTCAGGAGTGGTAATTCACCTGATGGATCTAGCAGCCTGATAGATCTAGATGTTAGAGGAGAAGGCCCTTCATTTAAAAACAACAAGCATGAATACGATAAGAATTGTTTGTGTTATTTTTTCAGCCGATATCCGTAAGTACCGCGAGAATAGGAAACGTCTTCCTACATTGTAATGTCGTCAAGCAGGAAGTTGTATATCCACTAAAATTGTCATCATTCTTCATCACCTCAACTTCTAAAATGCCCATCAAACAAGAAATAGCACAGTTGTATTCAATTTACTACAAAGAGATTTCCAATTAAAAAGCTGTACTATAGACTGAATAGATATTGGCTGAGCATTTAGCTGAACATAGACAGGTAGTTTGGAAATATAATGAGTTGAAATTATAATTGTGTAAGTGTGGATGAGCATGAGTTTCGATATGAAACTGGAGTACAGGTCGGATCAAGTAATTACTTGATCAGTAAATTAACCAGATGTCACTGAAATTATCTTCATTATCCTCATGAGATTGGTCACAAACAATCCATCTGTCGACATCCCTCGTCAGTGTTGCAGTATGTGACACTAGCTACCAGTAGCTGAGATCTAGTTAGACCATGATACAGTATGTGACACTAGCTACCAGTAGCTGAGATATAGTTAGACCATGATACAGTATGTGACACTAGCTACCAGTAGCTGAGATATAGTTAGACCATGATACAGTATGTGACACTAGCTACCAGTAGCTGAGATCTAGTTAGACCATGATACAGTATGTGACACTAGCTACCAGTAGCTGAGATATAGTTAGACCATGATACAGTATGTGACACTAGCTACCAGTAGCTGAGATATAGTTAGACCATGATACAGTATGTGACACTAGCTACAGTAGCTGAGATATAGTTGACCAGGTATGTGACACTAGACCATGAGCTGCAGTATGATAGACCATTTGCAGTATGTGACACTAGCTACCAGTTGCTGAGATATAGTTAGACCATGATACAGTATGTGACACAGCTAGCTGCTGAGGATATAGTTAGACCAGTATTGCTGAGATGAGATATAGTTAGACCATGATACAGTATGTGACACTAGCTACCAGTGGCTGATATATAGTTAGACCATGATACAGAGACACTAGCTACCAGTAGCTGAGATATAGTTAGACCATGATACAGTATGTGACACTAGCTACCAGTTAGCTGATGATATAGTTAGTGGCTGAGATATAGTTAGACCATGATACAGTGACACTAGCTACCAGTGGCTGAGATATAGTTAGACCATGATACAGTATGTGACACTAGCTACAAGTTGCTGAGATATAGTTAGACCATGATACAGTATGTGACACTAGCTACCAGTAGCTGAGATATAGTTAGACCATGTTGCAGTGTCTGGGATTACAACATAGCATTAATAATAATATTTAAGTGTCTGGGATCCCCATTTTGTAGTCCAAGACCCTGAAAATCTACCAGTAGCTGAGATATCGTTAGACCATGTTGCAGTGATGCTATCTACCAGTAGCTTCCAAACAAGCTTGCTTTTTATTGACTTGCAAACTGAAATGTTGAACATTCAAACATTGCCAGGGCAGAAAGCATTTAGAAATTTAGAAATCTTTACAGCTTTTGTCACCAGAGCCTCAACAGAATTTTGCTACTTGAAAAATGTTATGTAAGCGAAACAAGTTCAACATCAGCTGAAAACAGGTTGGGCATCTTCACAGCTAACTTTCACACAGAGATCTTACTGTAATCTGCTGTCTTCACAAAATTCCTGTATTGCATAAATCTTTTTATTGTATTATGTAACCTGTACCAACATATAAGTTATGTGACATGTCTCCCAAGTCTTGATGAATAGGTGAATTGGAGAGGGTGTTGACAACTCCAACGATACAGTACTTCTTGTAAGTTGGGTCAATACACAGCAGTGAGCTGTTTGGGTTTATGCATTTCAAGGTGTTCGGTCGATGTACATAGTGCTTGAAGTTCCAAGTGTTGTCATATTTCCACATATTGTGTGATCTGTTCAAAATAGGTTGAATTGTACTCTCATGTGGGAAGGCCTGTTGAGTAAGGCATGTTGCTGCTTGGTACTATGCTTCTCATATGTGGCAGCTGAGGTTTTCACATGCAATAAGTTCTTACTGTGAATACTATTCATTTGACAATTTGTCACATTCAGTGTGGACATTTGGAATCTGCCTTCATGCTTTAATGTAGTATCTATTTCAGGGAAATAACAAGATGGAACAGTAAGAATGAAGTTCTGTGTACAGAAACAAACCCAGACCCTTTAAGTAAATGCAGTTTGACTTAGACAGGTTTCCATTGAATAGTGAGTTTGCAAGGATGACTAACTTGGCTACCCTCCATAAATGTTTGTTTGCTGTGAATATCCGCTAAAACATTGCTGATGCAGCTTTAGGAAGCAAGCAATTCTTTCACAAACCACACCAGCAGAAAATTCTAATTTGAAACCTATCCATTTTACTATACACTTTTCATTTCAAATGAAATTTACAGTGACATTGAAACAAGATTGAAACCTTCTAATTGAAGAGGGGCAGTGGAGTAGCCTAATGGTTAAAGCGTTGGCTCGTCACGCCAAAAACCCGGGTTCGAATCCCCACATGGGCACAATGTGTGAAGCCCATTTCTGGTGTCCCCCGCCGTGATGTTGCTGGAATATTGCTAAAAGCGGCGTAAAACCAAACTCAGTCAGTCAATCAGTCTAATTGAAGACATGGTATGTTTATCTCCGAATCAAATCAATAGATTTATAATGAAGATTAACTGCATAATTAACATGACATTGAATTTGCCTTAATCAAAACTGCAGCCTTCTGAAGACTTAGTGGCCAACCATGTTTACCATGAAAATCCAAAACATTTTTGTGGCTGGAATTCACTCTGCATAAGTCCCAAGCCCAAGCAACACGTTTTAGCTTCTATGTGTTATTGGTGCGTGAAGGTGGTCTCCTCGTCCACAGGTATTGATCTATTGATCTCTGCTGTGATTGATTGAATAGTAGAAGACCTTGGTGGTGTGCAGGTAATCACAATAGTTCTTCAGGACATTAATTCTTCATGGGATTTTCATTACTTGTTTTGCATGGCAGTGACAACAACAGATTACTAGGACTGAGCAACATAGAAGGTATGAGGGCCAGATAGAGGCTTTACTATGTATGTCAAACTGAGGAGGGAGAGGAGAGAGAGAGATCAAGGGTCAAGTGTTGCATAGCAGTCGTAGGGAAGGGATATCTGAACATTCAATGGAAATATTAAACATTTCTCTTTATCATTTATCCAGATGTGTATTCAGCATAATTATTCACCTTATTTGACAACTAAATGACGTAATGGGTCTATATTATGCTTTGAGCAAAACATTCATTTAAACCTTACATTTGAATCTTATAGTTGTTGCTATTGCAGATTGTCATGAAGCAAATTTCAAGTTTTATCATTGTTTGACTGATTTTAGTTGAATGGAGTCGTCAAACTTTCATCGATAAATTGCCAGTTATGGTGATTAATTTCAGTGAATTCATTGCAAATATGGTGTTAAAATTAAGTTGGTATTTTTGTATTTTTAACATGTACGAAAACAAATCTGATCAACAAATCTGAACAAGTCTCTTCCTATTTCCATTGCAGTGTTTTCTTGTATTCAGGGAAACAAGTTTCCCTGAAATGTCTACTAACTTGCAAAGTGATAACCCCCTAGCAAAGCCTAGTCCTTAGTTAAGTATATACCCAATCTTGAACTGCTAGGATCATACAGAACTCAATCACTTACTCAATTACCCATGAAAATCTGGGTTAAAACTGGTTTTCATTAAACATAGATTGTTGCATAGATCGTTGCTCATATGTCAATCTCAGTGTTTGTTCCAAACATGCTTCTTTACAGACAACCATCTGATAGCTGGAATAGCTAAGTGTTGTGTTTAACAACATGCACACAAACAATCTAACAGTTTTTCAACTAGGTCACAGTCAAGATTTTGCCATTTCAAGTAGATTCAGTCTTGTCACTGACGTAAAGCAGCACCAAGCTATTGTTTTTAACACTTCTTGATCTATTTCCAGAAAGTCATCAAAGGTTATGACAAGTGTAATGCAATATTAAAACTATAGAACAGATATGGAAATGATGCACTAAGAATACTTTGTGCATTTGGAGCAAGGAGAAATATTACCTCTCCCTAGTTGGTCTTAGTACTCTCTTACACTCCCAAACCTATATCTTTTCCCTAACTTTTAGTATACTGACTATCCACGATATGGCTGAAATATTGCCAAAGTGACTTTTAACTCACTCACTCACTCACTAGTATACTGACATAGTCCTGAATGAAGCAACTCTAGAATTTCCACAGGTTCTTTGATCAAAATCAGGTTTCTAATGCTGTCAATTGCTCATCGACAATTCTGTCACTCACCACGTTTTCACAACAGCTCCATATATGCTTATTTCAGGCTTGTGAGTTGCACCAGATGTCTAGGTTTGACGTGAGTTGACTCAGTGACTACCTGTGCCCACCATTTCCTCGACATCTTCCCTCCAGCTTTTAGAGGATCCTGTACCCACTGTGAGTAAATATTACTTATTGTATAGACTTTGTTGATGTAGCAGTCTTGATTCAATGTTAACACTTGGAGTCATTACTATAGGAAATCTGGTTGTATTTTGAAAGGGGGTTGTACATTGAAAGCAATCTTTAGGGCTTGCTTATTAGATATATTTTGAATTGACATTGGTTGGCGTGATTTTTTATTCTCATGGTTTTGACATACTAGCAGAGACCAGAAACTAAAGACAGGTTTAGACACTTAGTTCCCTTTCCCCTTGAAGTGCTAATCCGAAGATAAGTACCTTCATTAAAGAAAACAGGAAATTTACAATAAACCACCACAAGACATGATGATTTACTTTTCGGCTGTATTTCCCCTTCAGCTAGACATTGTATTCTGAGCAGAGATAACTGAGTTGTCTTTTTCTGGTAATCTAAGCAGGAAATAACAATCAGCTGTCTGTTCATTTTTTCTCCGATCTACCAGTTATTTGGTTAATAAATATTCAAATGCATGACTATTTGGATGCAGTGCTGGGGAAAATATAATGTGTTCCAGTATCACGTTACTTCAATTGTAGTTTTTGCTGTATGCGGCATCTAAGAAGAATAATCTATTATCACGTTACTTCAATTGTAGTTTTTGCTATGAATTAAAAAAAATGATAATAACCATAAACTTAACACTTTGGCTGACTACTGTATATATATTACCTCTTGAACAGTTTGGCACGGCAGCATTAAAGGTGTCCCACTGTATTGCTATGATTATGTCTGAGAAGAATATTTTGACATGAATATAATAGGCTAACTATAACTGATATGACCTTAAAGGTCACATGCAACCAAAAAATCAAACATAATTAAAACACAGTTATCACTTATTCATGATATAATATACATTGCTGATTATGAAAAAACATATAAACAAAATTATAAGCGTACAATCGCAAATCAAAAGTGCAATATTTTGTACTTGGGTTTACTTCCCAAGAAACGAAGCAGCCAGGATACTGAACCCAGTCAGAGCGGGTGGGTGTGCACTCAAGTGTAACGGCTGGTTCATTTGCAGATGCCCTCACTGCTCATTGTGTGTGCATATATAGAGATGTTGGGTTTTGTGAATACATGCTCATTTTTTGTGTATAACATTTGCAATCAACAGACATCATAACATGTCATGTGTACCAGTATCACACCTGCCTGTCTGTGTAATTACATAATGTGACAGACCGAACTCGGGCCATTTCACTGCGTTTTGTTTATGGTGTATAGCCTGATAGGTGAGGTGAGGTGAAATTGGGTTTAACGTCGTGCTTGAGAATATTTTCGCTCATATGACGACGTGCATGCATGTGTATCTGTATGTGCGGCTGCTTGTACTAGCCCAGACTGAAGCTGGGTTTTTTTAATAGTGCTAGCCCACTGACATACCATGCCGCAGTGAAGCATGAATACCCCACTCAGACACATTATACTGACTCCGAGCCGACCAGTCCTTGTTGTACCCATTAATGCCGAGCGCCAGACAGGGACCATCAAGTACCATATTTTAACGTCTTTTTGTATGACGCGGTCGGGGATCGAACCCGCGACCTTCCGCTCTCCGGGCAGACGCTCTAACCACTACACCACAGAGGCGGTCGTATAGCCTGATAGATGTTAAGTTCAATTTGCATGTGGTCAGTCATCGAAGTTGTGTATTGAATATTGTCATTAGCAGACAGGCAGGCAGACACATAGGTGTCAATAAAACAGACATTGAGTTTTGTCTGTGACAACAACATATCTATATAACAGTTAGAAATTCTGTCAACGCTAAATAATGACATTGCTTTTAAGTATCGAACCGAGAAAGTGACTCGGTAAGAAGAACGTGTGGTGAAATAGACAGATGAAATTATATAAACAGTTAAATCGGTAATCTACTGTCATAACATATAAAAAGCTCGCGCCTGTGAAATATCAACAAAACATTAGAAAAATAGCTCACACCATAGCCTTCACCAAGTATTCGCCGGACAACCCGCTTCCAAGCTGCACGAACCTATTTCACTGTGCATGTGCTATGAGCGCAGCTCAGCTGTTGAAACCACTTTTCCCCCAAGTGCTGGGGGAAAATTAGTGCATCGTTTGAACTCCGATTTCGCGCGGGTTTTTTCATCACGTTATTTTTCAACTTTCTAAGTTGAATTTGCATTTTTGATGATTTGTTTCGGTAAGTCCATACTGAAAGGTATCAGAATCTGCAAAGTTGTGTTTTACGTTGCATGTGACCTTTAAGGAGTCAAAATATGACCTTTATGATATGCACACCCATTCTCTGTCAGCTTACATTCTTTTAAAGCATCATTAGTATCACTGTGATCATGACATGTGTGTTCTGCTAATCAGTTCACAGAGGACTTTAAAGGTCCTCTGTGAAATATAAGGTAAATGGTTAGGAATGAAAATTTGGATTTCTATGAAACAAAGAAGACACGATAAACACTCTTTATTACGTCATAGGAAGGAATAACAAGGGTAAATATACAAGTTCAGTGTTAAGTATCATGTTCCCCATGAAATATCTTCGCTTGTCAGCAGTCATATATAGTATGCCATGACCAAGATATTTATTTATACTGGGCTCATTGATGCTCATGATGTCCGTCATTGGATTATCTGTCCAGACCGTCATTGACAATTTGAATGCTGCATTAAGCTACAAACAAAACAGAACAAACAGGATCATTATGAAGCAATAGACTTTGCTGTAGATGTTTGCATTGGGTAGCTATGATTGATAAAACAGAACAAACAGGATCATATCACGAAGTCCCGGGTTCGCAATGGGCACTTTGCTGAAGATGTGTCCCCATGCCGTGATATTGCTGGAATATTGCTAAAAACGGCGAAAACCATGATTGATAAGTCTTGATTGATTGATTGATAAGTTTCAAGTTGTTTTGCTTTTGATTCTATTTGCATAAGTGAAGGTTTTGCCTCAAAAGGTAATAATGAGAAATGTGATGAATAAGTGTTTTTCCAAACATATAGGCCAGTGATTTATCCAAAGACTTTCCAGTATTTTTGAAATGACAGTCAAGTTGTTATGGTGTGTACTTGTCATACTGGAGACATGGTGTGTGATTCCTCAGTGTCACTTATATGGGTAGATCTAAAAGTGGGTGAAATCAAATACATTCATTTTATTCACAGTGTCATCTGTTGATAGATGGTGCAGTAGTTAGGACTTCACAGTTACTAGTATAAGATAATCTTGGCCCCTGAAATACCTATTGACCTAAGCTGTTATTGTTTATCATTCATTTAGGATATGACAAACCCAGTAGTGCTGCAAACAATACAATCTGATTGTACTCAGTCTTTGACTATGGAATTATGACATCAGTTTTTTAAACATATACGATCTAACACACTGGCTGCAATATTGCAAAAACTATACAACAGAGGAAGAAAGACAACTGCAGTTGATATCGAGCTCAATTAGCAATATTCAGGGAGGGTGGTGAAAACATTAATCATGTACTTCATTTTTCATTTCACTAGAGTTTGAATCTATTCAGGAAATTTATCGCCGATAGTTTACCAACTTTTGTATGTGTTGACTGGATGTATGAATGCCAAAAAGCAAGTTTCAGCAACGATGGATACAATTTCATATATATTTTATATGATCTGCATTATTTAGCCATTGAATCATTATGCTAGGATGTATCTCAGTTCAGATTCTGCTCAAGAGCGCATAATTTCAAATATTAGTCACGTTTATTCAACTAAAACAATTGCAAGCATGTGTGTCATCTGTGGTTGTCAACAATGTGATTGTCAAATGTCAAACGAAATCATTTACAAATTCAATAAACATGAGAAATATTTTACAAATAATTTAAAATTGATGTAATCAATTCAAGCAAATGAAGTTGGAAATATCAAAAGGATCACATAGTTCTTTTGTCATCTCGTGGAATTATTTGTTTACTGCTGTTGCCATGGCATGATCGTTCCTATTCATCCAGTCAGTGATATATAAAATGATTCAGATAATGTTTTGTTTATAACTAATTAAATCAAAAGTTGCTAATTTTTAGAAAATGAGGATCTTAAGAGTTTCTTTCACCAAAGAGCAAAACATATTGATGAAATTATATACAATGATTTCATTATGAAGAAAATAACAGACCACTCGATGTGTAGTGCCGGAAGTTTACAATTGCCATTGCAGGTGGTGTGCTAAGAAATCTGACCAATCCTTTTTATAATTGAATATAGTTTTTGTTTAAGGTACATAAACTACTTAAAGTTTATATATTTAGAAAGCTGACCATTTATGCAGACCATACATAATTCAGATGATAAGTAACTCCTACCACTAAATAGTTATTGCAAGAGATTTTGAGGGTGTTGTAATGCTACTCTCCTGTCCAAAGGTCACAACACCAGCATTGAGAGGATTACTGTGTTTTCCCACTGGAATCATTTTGAAAATAAACGATCTAACCTGTCTGCTGTCCACCTTGGCTGACTTGTCATTCTAGCCTTGTTTATATGCTTATGCATATAATTTCTTCAGCCTAAACAATCGGACAATAAGAACGGTGGTTGCCCATCAGATGGCGTCATTTGGAAATGTCCCTGGTAGTTCTTGTCTGAGTCTAGTCTGATCAATGCACTGCAATTCTTTAGAGTTATATTGGTGGGTGGGTATTCATTCACACAAATCACATGTAGAAAGATTGTTGTTGTTTTGTACTTAGTTTACAAAGACAAACGAGTAGTTTTTATATCTTATATTGATAAAACAATGTCCAGCAGAACAGAAATTACACTTTGAATTTTAGATCATCATGTCTAGTGATAATTAATCTCTTGATTTTACATTTTATTGAATATATTTGTTATCACCTGTTGAAGTCTTTGAAAGGATACTGTGTAGTATTTTACAGTGAATGATAATGATGTTCATAACACCTTCTTGCTTTAAGTCTTGTAAGTGCATGTATTAGTTACCACAATAAAAAAGATCTGGGTTAGAATTCGCCTTCAGTAACCCATGTTTGTCATAAGAAGTGACTAATGGGATTGGGTTGTCAGGCTTGCTGACTTGGTTGACACATGTCCGTGTGTATCCCAGTCACTTAGATTGATGCTCATGCTGTTGATCACAGGACTGTGTGGTGCAGACTCGATTATTTACAGATCGCCGCCATATAGCTGTAATGTTGCTGAATGCAGCGTAAAACAACAAATACAACAAAAACAAGCCCGATTAGCTTTACCCCTTTATTGTGTATCCTTTGTTAAGATATACAGCTTCTCATTCTTGGATCGACCAATAGGTGTTGCTTCGTGCATCAAGCAAGTCAAAATTATTGTCCATAAAAACCAGATTTGGATTCTGTGAAGAAAGAACTTATCCATATTTCAATAGTCTAAAGCTAGGAGCTTTGTTTCCCGTTCAGATATGAATCCTGCCCAGGTCCATAATGACTATACCCTGGTATTTAACTTTTCCCTGGGCTTATTGTATTTTCTATTTTAAGAATAAATATATTTTTAATTGAACAATATTTTTGTGACTTATGTAAGTCTAGTTGTCTCAGTGCCATCTTTTCTTAACACTTATGTTACCTTTGAGTAATGCATGGTGTCACGCCAGAAAATACACACTTGAGTTTCTTTACAAATGGAATATATTGGCACATATAAGCAAAAGTAGAAATTTACTGAATTAATTTGAACTTAGTTATATCATGTTTCAACAATATTACATTACCATGGTTACTTTCATAGTATACTGTGTTCATCATGAATGATATTTGACTCATTCATGAGAAACCGAAAGTACAGCTGTGTTCAATAAGTTTATAGGCCTCACACACAATGTGTCAATTATAGTAGTCGGCGACTTTGTAACTTTCTTTCATAGCACTGCTATGAATTGTACTTGCTGTGGCAACATATGACCATTTATTACTTCGCTGTTATGGTACCTTTTGAAAAGTCTGACATATTTCATTGTGTTATTTATTCATAGGCTTTGCCAGTAGAAATTTACTTCCTACGAATGTGATGTCATCATAACATCATGGTAAAGGTCAGGTTTGATATCTTAACTGCCTTATATATGTACAACACTAAGGTCAAGGCCAGTACTTTCACAAACTGTGCTGTTTAGAGTGAAAACATTGTTGAAAGTTATATTGTTTAGAAAGGGGCAGTGGGGTAGACTAGTGGTTAAAGCGTTCGCTCGTTACGCCAAAGACCCGGGTTCGATTCCCCACATGGGTACAATGTGTGAAGCCAATTTCTGGTGTCCCCCGCCGTGATATTGCCGGATTACGACTACAAGCAGCGTAAACCTTACTCACTAACTCACTATTGTTTAGAACAAAATCCATTTGCGTCGGACTGCACTTTTCTGAACAAATGCCTACATTTAACTTCCACAAGATTTTCAGTCATAAGCTGGTAACCACCATTAAACAAAATATGTATGTCATCTGAATTCGTCACATGAGGATTAGTCATGGAATTTGAATAAATATTATAGATTATTATTCACAGAAAGTGTTAGTCATCCTTTGCTTGTGAAAGTGTATGATATATGCTGTGTTTCACATGACAGTGTTACAGTGTAATATAACAAATACCCATCCTTCTACCAGGTGTTGTAAATCCAGCCAGACTAGAATTACATGGCGGACATAGACAGGGATGTTGATGAGTTCAGAATGTGCCCAGGCCACTGCATGTACCTTTCTAGACTTGTGTACATGGTGTATGCATGAACAGGCAGCATCGGGTGCAAGTGAAAGATCTTCTGTATCCAACCTACTCCTCCATCACTTGCCGCAACATTGCATGGTGAGACTGACGTCTGCACTTCTCAACAGAGGAAACTTTGTTTTGTTTGTAGTGAGGCTTCCAGCTTTTTTGCTTCACCTTGCTTATTCATGTCTCCACTGACTAATTTTTGTGTCATATTTCCCCAAACTAGTTTTCAAGTATCTTTCAACTACTCAGACCTGTTTGCATTTTCCCCCAAGCTCTGCTTGCGTTTTACATTTACTAAACAATTCCTTCTTACTGAAGGTCTCTAATACTTGTTCATCACAGCTTTCTGATATGGCATTGTGTTCCCTGCACTGTTCCCTGGGAGAATAATAAACTGACACAGTGGTTTTCACAGTAGCCGTTGTATTCAGTCTGTGACTAGCACCTATCCCAAAGCCTGTGTCAACTAAATGTTTGTTCTGTTTAGTCTGTATAATAACACAAAAATCTATTGATAATTATGAACCATACTCATACACACCATGAGTGGGCTTGTAGACTTTAACATTTTCAAAACAGACTGTATTTTTAGTGCAGTAGATTTTAGTTCCTCAGTCACATTATTCTATAGAACAGTCAACTCCAATTACTTTCATCCCCATCTCTTGGTTCCAGAAAGGATGATGCTTGTAGACCCTTGTAAATAATAACAGTTTTGACAAAAACTGTTCTCATGAAGGTGGCCCAATTCTTTAGTTACAAATGTTTCAAACATCTAGGTTGACTATCATTATGTAACAAAGGAATGCACAGTATATGCCTACCTGGAGACTCGTGAAGTCTTCAGCTACTCATGCTTGTCGTAAGAGGCTACTAAAGGGATCGTGTGATCATGCTCGCTGACTTGGTTGACTTGGGGATGTCATTGTATTGTATCCCCATTGTGTAGACGATGCTCATGGTGTTGAATTATTTACAGACCGCTGCCATATAGCTGGAATATTGCTGAGTGCAGCATTAAACAACAAACCAACCAACAAATGAAAAATAGTGCCATTGAGGAAGTGTTAGTGCCCATGAAGTTAGCTACTGCTGTAGATTTGAATTTATCATACTATGAGAAGGACCCTTTACTCTTGTGCTTAATTTCAAGCTGTGTAGAAGGATTCTGACATTTTTATGTGTGAACTTATCAGATGAAAATGATGATTAACTGTCCAGTGACAGGAATGTTCAAAATGTTTCCTGTCAGACGTTCACCTGTGTTATAGTAAAGTCATTCCATGAGGTCAGGAAAATCAAGTCATGTAGAATTCCTCACCAATTTTAGTTAGGAAATGACCGATGGAGTGAGCCTGTCCAGAATGAAAGACACATTTAAAAAAATACATAATGTGGTAGAATTGTATTATCAGCTAATGGAGAGTCCATTCTGATATGAATATAAACAAACCTTGAATCATCTAAATCAAGGTTGAAAGTCAAATGAAGAAGTCATTATTAATTAAGGCAAAAGTTACATGAAAGAGACCAGGAACTATTGTCAATTACGTGAGAAGATATGGTTTCGAGTCAATAATTCAATACTGAATAATACCATGACCTTATTATGATGTCATGTTGTATATTTAAGTATCATGTTTGTAGAAATATCATAGATGTAAGCATCATCTACGTAAATGAAAGTATTATCTACATGGATGAAAATATCTTCTAAGCAGAAGAAAGTATTATCTACATGGATATTAGGGAAAAAATAAACCGTGGCACTAATTTCCTTCCACGGAAAATAACTGACAAGCAGAATGTCATTTGACACGGGTTTGCCCTAATTAGTATAATCAAGACAGGCTGTGTGCATAAGACACTGGAATATAGATCCTGTGCTTGTTAAATGAGATCTCACCACACTCATGCACAGTCACATCATTTGTGTATGTGAATATACACAACCTTGGATTGCTGGAGACATGTGGATGTAGAATTGCGTCCTATTACCCGTTTTCACTACACAATTAATAAGTAAGTTGTGTGCTGTGTTTATTTAACCGTGTGGAGTGTGAAGTTAAAATATTTGTATCTTTCAGTGGTAGTAATCGGACCAGTCTGTTATCTATGTCAAGAACCAAAGTGACATTACAGGTTTCTGAAGGCACGTCCTCACATTATCACTAATCAAGCAGGTTATGTGTGTACTTTATCAACTTCAACTTATCAACTCAGGTGAGGCTAGAGGCTGGCTAAATTCTGTTCAACTTAATATTGAGCTCAACTTATAATAGCCTGTGTGTACTACTCAAAATAAGTGAGGGTACACCTGATTCTTTCATGTTGCTGTAAATTATCATGGCTTAACAGATTAACTATAGCAATATGAAAGTGTCAGGTGTTCATTACCTTCATTCAAGTAGTATGTAGATTAAATCAGTTGAATGCAATATAGGTTGTCGAGCTTTGGCAAGTAGACTAAACGATTTAGCCACAATTTATCCTTTATGAAAAGCAGTGTTTGTCCACAACAACAACCATGATGCAAGATTTATGATGACAGTGAATAACGTTATGAAGCGGCACTGATGATTTAACGGATTGTCTGTGTGACTGATATTCATGCAGTTTATGATGGTCAAGCATACAAATTGCCTGTAATTATGGTTTTCATAACACTATTTCAGCTTTTTGAGAACATAATGTGCTGGAGGCTTAAGAGCTATCACAATCTGTTGAGTGATTATCTCAAATAACTAACGTGGAGTTGCCCAAAGTTGCATTTAGACAATCTTCATTTGATGTTGTGTTAATATAGAGACTGTTACTTGTTCAGATGGGTATTGGGCTGATTTCAGTAATGAATTTGCTAATGCATGACTTTACCTCCCCCTCATTTTATATTTTAATAAATTTATCCTCCATTTTGTTGGAAGTTTTTATAGTCACAAAGCATACATAATAGGCACATGATATACAGGAAGCTGGTTGCAGATTGTGTTGTTTTCTCAAACTCAAGAATCAGTTTCTAAATTTCATAATTTCAGTTCAACTTTTCAGTCATGTGAACTTTTGTAAGAGGATGGTTATATTCATAATTACAATAAATTCCAGTATACCCGTATTCATCAGATTTGATTTGTGATCATGTATCTGTTACTAGCTGAATGTTTTAGACAAGGATACAAACTACCCCAGTTCTGTGTTAAGATGTGCCTCTAGTAACAGACTGTATAAAACAATTCCTGACAAGATAGCCCTTCTCACTGTTAACCTAAGCTACAACTTAGCTGCTTACAATCTCCACTTGCTATGACCCATTTCTGCTACCTTTGCTTTCCTATATTACCTTCAAACATAGCATTGATTACCATTGTCATTTGCAAGTTTTAATAATGCCTTGAAGTATGACCTTCTAAAATGTGTCATAAATAAGGTAAGGGTGCATTCAGTGTAGACATGTTTTGCCTACATGCGTTTAACTTTAAGTCACTTGATGTCATCTTTACATTTATTATAAGCTTAGCATCATTTGCATGTCTCTGATATGCGTTTCTCTCTTATTCATATATCAGTCACTCAGACTATGTACCAGTGGAGATTTGTAATGTCTACGTTAAGATGAAACATATTGAAGAGAAACATGTAGTTGACCCTTGGTCTTGTGATATGATTCAACGTTTGTGTGTATGTGAAGAGTGTTTCATCCCGGCACCAGGAAGGACAATAGGAAGAATCTGGTGACACTGATAATAGGTCTGCTGGTCTCATGAGCGTAGTAATCATAGTGTGTATGTTTTTTGTTGATTGTCTCAGTATCCATATCCCCAGGAAATCATAACATTGTGTTTAGTTACATAGTCAACAATGGTTCTGTTCATCAATCAGAATAGCAAAGTTGCTGTTGCATTATTTAAGCAAGGTTGAGTCCAGTGCTTGCAAGGTATATGAAGATTTCGTCCTCTGTGCTGATTGTTTCTAAGTATAATTAGGTAGGTATGCATCAATGATATAATTGGTAAAGCCAGTTTGGGGTGGGGGGTGTTTGGGCTGATAGATCCATGCTTCTTATTAAATTATGGTTTTCATTCACAGGTTAATTATTAAAAATCAATAGCATTTTCTTTACTTGCACAAACAGGTGAATCTTAACTTTTTATTGTTTTGAGTCATACTTCAAACAGTTATATTTCATCTTTATAGAAATGTGTTAGTAGGCTAATAATTTTCCTGATTGCAAGGCTACATGAGGTTACTGGCTGAATGGTCCAGTCTGTGTTGACCCAGTTTGTAGAATTGTGTAGATTCACTCTGATTATGTTTCTTGGTTTGTCACTATATCCTTTGGCATTTCCGTCCACGTAATGGTGACTTACCATGGTAAAACTATAATGATGTTAATGTAGTGTTCACCAAACTCACTCAAATTGTTTCAAACCTCTTGGTGTAGTTTGAGATTCATATTCTTTGTTTGGGATACTTGTGATCGTGGACTGATTAGATGCTAGATTATCATGTTCATTTGTGTATGGAGGCTGACATGTTTGCCTGTATTATTTCAGAAAATGTATCAAGTCCTGGATGCTCAGACATGTTCCTATATTGTGTTTATCCTCGGGATCCTGGGCTTGGTGTTTTACTGCTCCATCATGTGCTTCGTCGTCATCTCCTTCATTGGAGGGTAAGTCTTATGTTGTACTTCATCCCCATCTCCATCTTCATCAGAGGGTAAGTCTTATGTTGTACTTCATCCCCATCTCCTTCATTGGAGGGTAAGTCTTATGTTGTACTGCATCCCCATCTCCATCTTCATCAGAGGGTAAGCCTCCTCCCAATCTCCAGTTGTACGTCATCCCCCATCTCCCTTCATCAGAGGGTAAGCCTCCTCCCAATCTCCAGTTGTACTTCATCCCCCATCTCCTTCATCAGAGGGTAAGCCTCCTCCCAATCTCCAGTTGTACTTCATCCCCCATCTCCTTCATCGAAGGTTAAGCCTCATCCCAGTCTCCAGATATACTTCATTCCCATCTGCTTCACTGGAAGGTAAGCCTTGTCTTATAAGGAAGAGAGTTTTTATGGATGTCAACTTCTTTATTATGAGTAACACAACGTTTCGGAGTATATCCTTACTCCTTCATCAGGTGAATGATGGATACTTGAATGATGGGGATACCTGTGTTATAAGTCATCTCATCTTTGATGGACTCTAGTACCTGTGTTTCAAAACCTGACATGAGGTCAAGGTGGTAATATGCCATACAACTGACATACCATTCTTTCATTGCATCATCAAATGTGTCCAGAAGACTGATTTTCTCTCCTCCATGCTAATTGATAATGTTATCTCTTGTGTTTGGCTCCTTGGCATGGGATTTGATTCCATCTGTACTTGACCCATGCTCAAATACTCAAAAAGATGTAACAGCCCTATCTACTTCTTCAGAGGGTGAATTGTATGTTGTATCCATGTTACTTATCAGCGACCAATCGGAACCTAGGCGAGACTATGATATTTTCCTCATGTTTCAGGTGCCGTCGTGTTGTATGATACACTTGATAAGTTGTTTCCCTTAGTTACCTGGAGCTGCTTGTTATGGTTTTTAATCCAAAAATTCCCTCTGTTAATGATTCTGTTAGCTTGTTATTTGTATGTGTATGGTATTTAAGTATTGGTCTTTCTTGCTAGACGGTTCTACTGGTATCGGAAGTCTGACCCATCTGTATTGGGAGATGACCTCCCTGGAGTCTCCATCATCAAGCCCATTGATGGGCGTCGACCCACTACTGGAAGAGAACCTGGAGAGTCATTTTACTATGAAGTACCCAAAGGTTTGTACCAGTTCTCTTTAGTCTGTCAACCTAACATTTGGGACTGCAGTTTTTGCAGATATGTTTTTGTTATTCATTTCAATGTAAAAATGTTTACATGTACCTTCATGTTTCTCCATGGATGGCCAATTAAAAAGTTACCTATATAACTATCATTATTTTTTCGTGATTATTTTGATCAACTCACTCCAGGCGTAGGTTCAACTGATGTAATGTCTGACAGGTGACGTGTTTCACGTGCATGACCCCTAATAGATGTTGGAGACATGACCAATCTTATTAGGTCCTGGACTACTTAGAACAAATTGCTAACAGGACATTTTTCTTTCAAAGTTGAATGAAGTGGCTAAGATATTTGATACAAAAGTTCATTTTATATTAGGGGTGGTGGGGTAGCCCAGTGGTTAAAGTGTTGGCTCGTCACACGAAAACCCGGGTTCGAATCCCCACATGGGTACAATGTGTGAAGCCCCTTTCTCGTGTCCCCCTCCGTGATGTTGCTGGAATATTGCTAAAAGCGGCATAAAACCAAACTCACTCAGTCATTTTATATTCTTCTGAACATTGTTCATGAATTCATACATATGTTCCCTAGAAACAGCTTGAGGAGACAGTTGGTGTATCCCATTCCCATTCACTTGTAATCAATATGTACCAGTAGTTTTAAATTTGCATCAGTTATGATTCTTGGCCTATCAGCTCCATCAACTTTTACTGCAAAAGTAATGACAGAATCAGTAAGGAATTACCATTAAGTAAATAATATCAGTCTGTGGAATGAAACCTGACGTTTATGAAAATTTGTATAATAGTATGACACAACCATGATTACACAATGCCATTTAGAAAGTGGTCAAATGTAACATATGTTATATTTGGGATTACACTTTCTTAGTAAAGTACAAATTCTAGTACTTTTTGGGGTTGAGTCCCATCCAGGTTTTGAACCCATACCCTCACAGTCAGGCATCAAATCACCAGCACACAAACTCAGCTGCCTAACCCGCTCACCCACTGCGACTTCCACAAAGTGTAATCCCAGAAAGTGTTATCCCAAATATAACATATGTTACATGACACAACCACTTGTATCTTATGGGCTATATCTTTGGGGAAATGCTGTTGCTTAAGTCTTGTTCAAAAGAATCAAAACAGTATGTGGCGTTTACATTGAGGTAGGACATAAAGATCTTAATTTTACAGTTCGAGGCATGATGGAATGTTTATGGTTACTTCACTTACACTTCCTCTTGAAAGTGGACTGTTCGACATATGTATATCAGTGGCTTCAAGGCCATGTTGGCTGGACTTATGTTTTGTATTGTACTGTACATGGTGTGAAGCTGTAATATACTATTTGTTTTGCATTATTCCATGCTCTTTTGGGTCAACCAAAGAACTAAATGTTTCCACCTGTACACCTTTGTTCCATCCCAACATTAACTTAACGCACTATGACAGAACTGACATTTTGTTCAAAGTAGTGGAAGTGAGTTTTATAGTATAGTATGACATGAACATGCTTCTCTTGTTTCAGTTTGAGCTCTTGTGTTGTGTTAATGATGAAAAGGATCCAGCTGTTGATCTTGTCAACAGACTCTGTGAAAACTATCCTAAGGTGGATTGCAAGTTATTCAAAGGTACATTGCAGCATTTGGTGTTTAGAGAAGATAACTCAAATTTTCAGCCTTAACCATTATGCCACTCTCATAAAAAACATGTGTCTACCAAAAGAGGCAAAACATTTTTGTGATCTTATCATCATAGATGATGTCCTTCTATGCCAATACCTAAAATGTACATCTTCAGGACTTTAAGATCACAGTCAGTGTCAGATGAAATGTTGAACCCTGAAGTAATAGCAACAAAGATCACTGACTCTCATGCTTTGTCTTAAACACTGCCTAGTGGTTAAAGTGTTTGCTTGACACACTGAAGGCCCTGGTTTGGTTCTCCACATCGATACTATGCGTGTAGCCGATTTCTTACTAGAGTGATATTGCTGGAATATTGATGACAATAGTCTAAACCCCAACTCACAAATATTGTTGCTCTTAGTGTAGCTGCGTGATGTCTTTTTTTTTTCAGGTGGTAAAAATGGCATCATCAACCCCATGGTCCGCAACATGGCCCCTGCCTATGATGCTGCTCAGTACGAGTATGTGTGGATCAGTACCAGCAGAATCAAAGGTATGTACTCCAAACTAACACCTTACCATACTTACTGCAAGTAAAGCATGTTCTCATGTTATATGGGGTCAACTGACACCTTACCATACTTACTGCAAGTAAAGCATGTTCTCATGTTATCATGGGGTCAACTGACACCTTACCATACTTACTGCAAGTAAAGCATGTTCTCATGTTATTGGGTCAACTGACACCTTACCATACTTACTGCAAGTAAAGCATGTTCTCATGTTATCATGGGGTCAACTGACACCTTACCATACTTACTGCAAGTAAAGCATGTTCTCATGTTATTGGGTCAACTGACACCTTACCATACTTACTGCAAGTAAAGCATGTTATCATGTTATCATGGGGTCAACTGACACCTTACCATACTTACTGCAAGTAAAGCATGTTCTCATGTTATTGGGTCAACTGACACCTTACCATACTTACTGCAAGTAAAGCATGTTCTCATGTTATCATGGGGTCAACTGACACCTTACCCTTACTGCAAGTAAAGCTGTTACTGCAAGTAAAGCATGTTCTCATGTTATCATGGGGTCAACTGACACCTTACCATACTTACTGCAAGTTAAGCATGTTCTCATGTTATTGGGTCAACTGACACCTTACCATACTTACTGCAAGTAAAGCATGTTCTCATGTTATCATGGGGTCAACTGACACCTTACCATACTTACTGCAAGTAAAGCATGTTCTCATGTTATCATGGGGTCAACTGACCACCTTACCATACTTACTGCAAGTAAAGCATGTTATCATGGGGTCAACTGACAACTTACCATACTTACTGCAAGTAAAGCATGTTCTCATGTTATCATGGGGTCTACTGACACCTTACCATACTTACTGCAAGTAAAGCATGTTATCATGGGGTCAACTGACAACTTACCATACTTACTGCAAGTAAAGCATGTTCTCATGTTATCATGGGGTCAACTGCCACCTTACCATACTTACTGCAAGTAAAGCATGTTCTCATGTTATTGGGTCAACTGACACCTTACCATACTTACTGCAAGTAAAGCATGTTCTCATGTTATCATGGGGTCAACTGACACCTTACCATACTTACTGCAAGTAAAGCATGTTCTCATGTTATTGGGTCAACTGACACCTTACCATACTTACTGCAAGTAAAGCATGTTCTCATGTTATGGGGTCAACTGACACCTTACCATACTTACTGCAAGTAAAGCATGTTCTCATGTTATCATGGGGTCAACTGACACCTTACCATACTTACTGCAAGTAAAGCATGTTCTCATGTTATGGGGTCAACTGACACCTTACCATACTTACTGCAAGTAAAGCATGTTCTCATGTTATCATGGGGTCAACTGACACCTTACCATACTTACTGCAAGTAAAGCATGTTCTCATGTTATTGGGGTCAACTGACACCTTACCATACTTACTGCAAGTAAAGCATGTTCTCATGTTATCATGGGGTCAACTGACACCTTACCATACTTACTGCAAGTAAAGCATGTTATCATGGGGTCAACTGACACCTTACCATACTTACTGCAAGTAAAGCATGTTATCATGTTATCATGGGGTCAACTGACACCTTACCATACTTACTGCAAGTAAAGCATGTTCTCATGTTATCATGGGGTCAACTGACACCTTACCATACTTACTGCAAGTAAAGCATGTTCTCATGTTATCATGGGGTCAACTGACACCTTACCATACTTACTGCAAGTAAAGCATGTTCTCATGTTATCATGGGGTCAACTGACACCTTACCATACTTACTGCAAGTAAAGCATGTTGTTCATGTTATCATGGGGTCAACTGACACCTTACCATACTTACTGCAAGTAAAGCATGTTCTCATGTTATCATGGGGTCAACTGACACCTTACCATACTTACTGCAAGTAAAGCATGTTCTCATGTTATTGGGGTCAACTGACACCTTACCATACTTACTGCAAGTAGTTAAGCATGTTCATGTCATGTTATTACTGCAAGTTGGGTCAACTGACACCTTACCATACTTACTGCAAGTAAAGCATGTTCTCATGTTATCATTGGGTCAACTGACACCTTACCATACTTACTGCAAGTAAAGCATGTTCTCATGTTATCATGGGGTCAACTGACACCTTACCATACTTACTGCAAGTAAAGCATGTTCTCATGTTATTGGGTCAACTGACACCTTACCATACTTACTGCAAGTAAAGCATGTTCTCATGTTATCATGGGGTCAACTGACACCTTACCATACTTACTGCAAGTAAAGCATGTTCTCATGTTATCATGGGGTCAACTGACACCTTACCATACTTACTGCAAGTAAAGCATGTTCTCATGTTATCATGGGGTCAACTGACACCTTACCATACTTACTGCAAGTAAAGCATGTTCTCATGTTATGGGGTCAACTGACACCTTACCATACTTACTGCAAGTAAAGCATGTTCTCATGTTATCATGGGGTCAACTGACACCTTACCATACTTACTGCAAAGTAAACATGACATGTTATTGGGTCAACTGACACCTTACCATACTTACTGCAAGTAAAGCAGCTCATGTTATCATGGGGTCAACTGACACCTTACCATACTTACTGCAAGTAAAGCATGTTCTGTTATCATGGGGTCAACTGACACCTTACCATACATGGGGTCAACTGACACCTTACCATACTTACTGCAAGTAAAGCATGTTATCATGGGGTCAACTGACACCTTACCATACTTACTGCAAGTAAAGCATGTTATCATGGGGTCAACTGACACCTTACCATACTTACTGCAAGTAAAGCATGTTATCATGGGGTCAACTGACACCTTACCATACTGACACCTTACCATACTTACTGCAAGTAAAGCATGTTATCATGGGGTCAACTGACACCTTACCATACTTACTGCAAGTAAAGCATGTTCTCATGTTATCATGGGGTCAACTGACACCTTACCATACTTACTGCAAGTAAAGCATGTTCTCATGTTATCGTGGGGTAGCCTAGTGGTTAATGTGTTCGCTCGCCACGCCAAAGACCAGGGTTTGATTCCCCACATGGGCACAATGTGTAAAGCCCATTTCTGGTGTCCACCGCCGTGATATTGCTGGAATACTTCTAACAGCAGCGTAAAACTAAAACTTACTCACATTCATGTTATCCTACCCCAACAGCATGGATTGATTCACAATAACAATCACTAGATTGTCTGCTCCACTAAATACTGTGTGAAAAAACACACCCAACATGAATAAACTCTGACTGAATGTGGTCAAACCAGTGTGGTGTTGATCAAACTTATGCTTTCAACACTTGTTGGGGATCAGAGATCTGGGGTTAGCTGTCTTACAGGTTTGCTGTTAACACAGTAAAATGACTGTACCACTGAACAATAGAGAATGCATTGTAATCCTGTCCTAATTGATGCCTTTCAGCTTCAACTGATATCATCATGGATATGGTGTGCAAGCTACAAAAACCAAATGTTGGGCTTGTCCATCAGATGCCGTTCACTCTAGATCATAGAGGTTTTGGCTCATGCATAGAAAAAGTAAGTTGAACGTTAAACATATGAAAGAAAGTAACCATGTTATTGTATTACTGGTAAATAACACCTATGAATGACAGATGGCCTTGGCTTCAAAGATGAGGTCACTCACTCCTTTAAACAACTAGTGATGGGTATAAAAATTACCCATCACCAAAAAATATTCATCACCATCTACCATATTGACATTTAATAAATTATTCTCAATTTTGAGTTACTTTGCAATTCATCATTCTCATAAGGCGACAGTAAAGGTGACACTTGCTCGATCATGTTCAAATTTATGCCGAAGAAAAATCAGAGTGCAGACTATATAACAAAACCTTTCTTATTTCGAATTGCTATCCTTAATTAATATAAGCAGAAGACAAATGTTATGGTACTTTACTACACATTTGCTGTTTCATACTTTAGACTGCCCTGGGTAATAATCCATATGAAAATATATACTGAGGGAAACAAATAAGGGAACGCCACTTCATGGCAGTGATCCTTTATTTATTCTCAGATTTCCTCCCACAGCTATTCCAAGCTGGTGATGAAAACTGGAAAATATTAAAGGAACACTTGAATTTTCCTGTGTTCCTTTATTTGTTTCTCTCAGTATGTTTACAAACTTAGACCAGGCTAAAATTCACCATACAATTGATCTTATAATCTCAATTGTATTGTATTTTCTGCAGTGGTTATTTGGTTTGCAAGCTGTAATGATCATGTGATAGGTAGGAAGAAACACCTGAAGTGACTTTTGAATGTTACTGCTTTAAAAATCATTGTCTCGATCAACAAAGCATTCGTAACTTTGTGACCTGTCGTAACTCAGGAGACTCTATAGTTTAACATAGGCTTACAAACGTCTTGTGTATAGGGACCCAGACCAGCATATTGTAAGAGGGCTTGGCTTATCTTATAATTCAATTCAACTGACTCTTAGAATTGAAGCATTACAACACTCTCACTCAATACAGTAGCCACTTTGTTGGTAAGGCTACGATCAGGGGTTGCTTTGCATTGATTGATTCATACATTTACCAGTCTGTAAATGGTCAATAGCCCATATTCTCCAACTTCAACATACAAGTACTGATTGTGTACAAGCAGTTTACATTTGAGCAGCATTGAAGGAGCGACTGCTAGAGTTTTGACAGAAGCCATGAAAGGTTATGCCTGGCTTTTTTAGTATCTTATATGCCAATATACTGCAATGTGGATGAACTGGATTAAGAACAGAATAGGCTCTGCATAACTAAAAGACAGGGTAGTGGTAAATTGTATTTTTGGATTATCTTGGATATTTTGCAAGATAAAATAATATCAAAGTTTGTGATAGTGACATATGCATGAAGGGATTCCATTGTGACATGTTCAGACCATGTATTACTATTGGTCTTCCAGTCTTACTACTGGATTCAACCAATCTCTGCCCAGTGCCAGAATCAGATAACTAAATAAAAATGGTCTGACTGCTCCGTCTTTGATCATGTAGACGATAAGACTATAATGCACAACAAAATCCATACAATTATAAAATAACAACTAGGGTATTGATTATTTAAATAATCCTAATTTAGTGTGTTTTGTGCAGTCTCAGGTCACTGCCACCTTCTCAAAGAGAATAAAGCTACATATACTTTTCTTTTAACGATGCAACATGATGCATATATTTCAGTGATAAAACATGAAAATCTGTGTTAGAATTGTTCTTCTGCAACCCATACATGTTGTAAGAGGTGACAAACAGGATCGGTCAAGCTTCCTGACTTGGTTCATTCATGTTATTGCAAGGATCAATGCTTATGATGACAGTCACTGAATTTTATTGCCCAGATTGAACAATGTAAAAACTGCTACCATAAAGCTGGAAATCTGTGATAGTCAGCTGTCCTTCCTTAAACATTGACCAACCCACATTTTTCACACATAACCAAACGACCCCAAAAGCTTATTATATTTGGTGACTCAAAGTTATTTTATATTCATATTATTGAACCATGAAAATAAAAGGGATGTGTTATTTTATGTATTTTCAGATATATTTTGGATGTGCTCTGCAGCGCTTTTATCTGGCATTCAACCTGATGAACTTGTGTTGTGTGACAGGCATGTCTTATACCTTTAAAAAGTCTATTCTGGACCAGCTCAATGGACTCAGCTGGTTTGGAAAATATTTGGCGGAGGATTATTTCCTAACAAAAGCCATCCATGAAAAGTAAGTGGTGACATTTGATTTGTGGTGTTGCTGTCTGTTTGCTCTTTCGCTCTTATAATCCACAGCACATGTATTCATAATGTCACATTAATGTTTCAACTTCAAAGTTTCATATTTGAAATTGACAAAATTGAAACTTAGATACTTAGACCTATCAGGGTGGATCCAGAGGGGGGTATGCACCCTCCCTTTTGTCCTAAAAGTTTTTTAAAGGACCATTGAAACTCTCGTGAAAATGGGTGAAAATTAACTTGCACTCTTTCTCTTTGCCCTCTCCCCCTTCTGAAAAAAGCTGTCTCCGCCCCTGTGTGCAGTATGTGTCCAAAATATCCTTTGTGAGAGATCAATGGTAATAATGTACTTTAATCATTATATTTGATCTCTGAAAACTCAGTTCGATCAGTTCAACCAGTGGTGAATTCAATAATAATACCTTAATGATTATCAGTTGCAGTTGTTTGTCCCATGTTAATTGATCAACACTTTGCATTTGGTAGGTTTGGAATATGAAATAAAAACTAGGCTGCTCTAAGAATAAGGTGATATTTTGGATTATGCTAGACATTATGCTGCAGTGTTCCAGAAATCTTGAGTCTCAGCTCATCTGACTGAAAGTTAACTTTATCTAAAACTAGTGTCTTTGAATTGTTATATTGAACATGGTTGATTAATACATGAGCAATGTATCAGAAATAGAAAGCCATATATATACTATGACCAGTTTGCTCCCAGGAGATCCAAATAGTGTCATGTTTCCTATATACATGTATGTACATTAAGTCATATTCTGAATGTTCACACCCGTGAAGGTCCGGGTTAGAATGAACCTTCAGTAACCCATGCTTGTCGTAAGAGGCGACTAACGGATCAGGTGGTCAGGCTCGCTGGCTTGGTTGACACATGTCATCGGTTCCCGATGCTCATGCTGTTGATCACTGGATTGTCTGGTTGAAACTCAATTATTTACAGACAGCCGCCATATAACTGGAATATTGCTGAGTGCGGCGTAAAAGTGAACTCACTCACTCACTGAATGTTAACAAATGTATCACAATCAGAGAACAGCTGTAAAGGTCTAATAAAGGAAATGTTAATGAACTATGAACATTCTAAAAATACTTTCGTTATTCACTGGGATTTTGTTGAAAAGAAAAATATCCAATGTTTCTTCTTCTTCTTTTCTTTTCATTTTCATCTCCAGTGTCAGTAATACAATTATGTACAGTAGCTCCTGTAGTGATTCAAGGGCAGAAAAGTTCTTCCTGATCCTAAAAGAGAAGTTAACCAATGGTAAGCAACATACTGACATGTATTTTGATGATGCATATGAAACTTGATGTGTATTTTTGCAGAGGCTACAAATTGGTCTTATCATCATTTCCTGCTCAACAGAATGTTGGGGGGACATCGTACTGTGGACTAGTTGATCGTTTAATTCGGTAAGTTTATCCTTCTTTAGTTTGGAGAATGTACTGTTGTCTGGATCATAAATCACACGTAAGGCTATCAGTAATCAGTAATGGGAATATCGGGTGGCGTACAAGTGCACTTAATGTCAGGGCACTTATAGAAAACAGTACACATAGAGAATATCAGTTATCCCTTTTAGCCCTGTTGCCAAGACCAAAATCCATGTCAGCTACTAAAGGGACTCTTTGCTCCAGGGTGTGAAGACTATTTTCAGTCTTGGTCTAGACTTGAAACTTGTCTCATGCGTCAGACATCATTGCTGTGTCATCGGGCTAATCATAAGATAAGCATCACAATATGTACCGCTTTGGTCGCTTGCTTGGACTGCCAGGTTGTCTTAACTTAGTCCCCCTTTACTGTTTTTTGTTTGTTGTTTAACACCACACAAACAATATTTCAAACAGTTATGTGAATTAGTGAACAACAGGCCCCACCGTCGGGTACGATGACTCACTGTCAACCACACACCAAGTCTGACCCCTGATCTGTTGTCTTGCCATTTTTTCCCACTTGTTGCTGGAACCCACATGTTGCTGGAACCCACTTGTTGCTGGAACCCACATGTTGCTGGAACCCACTTGTTGCTGGAACCCACATGTTGCTGGAACCCACATGTTACAGGCATTATCGATGAACCATGTTTTTGTTGTTGTTGTTTTTGTAAGACAGTATTGTGTTGTTACTTGTATTCTTTAATAAATCTTTGTGAGAAATTTGAAAGTCTAAAGATATTGTTACTTCAGATGGATGCGTCTGAGGATCAACATGCTAACTGTTGTAAGCATTTTGGAGCCAATGACTGATGTTTTCCCTCTGGGTGCATATGGTGCATGGTGCCAGTATCACTTCTTTGGCTTCAACCCATACTACTTCTTTGCTGCTCATGTTTTTGGAATGCTAGTACTGGACTACCTGCTTCTACACAATGCTCAGGTAAGTGTACACTGGATTATGTGTTAACTGCCACCACTTTTCCAAACCCCTTGTCTAGTGCACGGGGCGGTGGGGTAGCCTAGTGGTTAAAGCGTTGGCTCGTCACGCCGAAGACCTGGGTTTGATTCCCTACATGGGCACAATGTGTGAAGCCCATTTCTGGTGTCCCCCTCCGTGATATTGCTGGAATATTGCTAAAAGTGCGTAAAGCTAAACTCAGTCAGTCAGTCTAGTGCACAAAGGAGAGTAATTATTTCTGTCAACATGGGTAATTCACTTAGCAGAGTTTCATCCCCTGGCATGCCAGAAAACTATGCTTGTGGGTTCAAAGCCTGGTTCACCATGACCATGGTTCTAGGTTTGTCAGCACCATAACCGTCCCTGTGTGTTTCAGTAAAGTGGTAAACATGTGAGACCTGCGTCTCTTCAGGCTTTTGTCTCCCATTGAGCTGATGCACCTTGATATAACTTGAATACTGTTCAAAGCATTCACTCTCTTTAATTTATGAGATTCATCAATGATTGGTTTGTTTCCAACCAAGGTATCATTCATGGCATTTGTGTTGATGGTCTAAAGTGACACAGATTGTGGTGTTGAATGTCATCGAACCAGTCTGCATGAATACACTGGTCATGGCTTCCAGTCTGTGTTTTACTTCTCATTGTTATCCTTGGCCTGTCAACACCATACCCAAGCATGTGGTTTTATCTAGGATGTGCTTCATCTAAGACTTTCATGCTTATTATGATATACCCGAACTACCATTCAAAGCATCATTAAGCTACTCACTAAAACTATTTGTTCTATCTATCCATTTTTATAATACATATCTGTGCCAAAAGCATTTGAGTCCAGTCATGGCTCTTCAATTTCAATTTCAATAAATTTTACTGGATCAGTGACTGAAGTTGCAGACTGTAATAATAATTCTCTTATGTCATATCTGTTTTAACTTTCATTTACAGGTTGGCCCAGTAGCCTTCAGCAAGTTGGAGTACATATTTGGTTGGTTCGTTAGGGAATTTACTTCTACATTCATATTTTTGGCTGCTATCGTGAAACCACACACCATCAAGTGGGGTCGGCGCACATACTGGGTCAAATGTGGAGGCCACACCGAGATCTCTGAAGACAGATCGACATCAATAGTCTTGTAACACCTCCTTACCCAAGAAACGGGTCCATCATGCATCAGTGAAAATGGCAGCATATATCAATAGGTGATACCATGGTTTTGGACAAGTATTGACTTAACTGTATTTGTTGAGTTTGTGTCTCATGCAAGCATGGCTAATAAACATTTCAGGAAAACTGAAAATCTACAGAATGTGAGGAGTGAAGCTCAACAGTGATATTTGTAGTCATCTCAGGTCAGTTGGCTGAGAACATTTCTGACATTGTTACATTGTTGTCATAAGCATGGCAAAAAGGACAGGTGTTTCTGAACTTGATGTTTGTTGCTTGTCACCACCACATACATAACAAGCATATGAGCTTCTCTGTAGGATATTAGAAGTATGCAGCTGTACTTCCGGTTATCCCTCTCCTGGATGTGCAGGCTCCATCATTCTGAAGGGGACAGATGGAATAGTGCATCTGCAACATTCCTTTAAAGCTCTCCAACCTATGACACACAGTATCAACCTTCTGTATGGTTTCAGAAAGACAAATGGCATTGTGTATTCATATTGAAAGACATCAGACTGAAAGTCATAAATACACAAGAACTGGTTTCTTGAAGGCTTCTCAACCTACTGTCAACGCACCTTGTGTATTAAATCTGAAAGACATGAGATTGAAGGCAACAGATACAAGGGAACCTGTGTTTTAGGTTCAATGTTTCTTGTAGTTTCTGTCCTCCAGTCACCATGCTCAGTTTGTGTAATCTGAAGAAAGAGTTGAAGGCACTGAGCACCACAGTGAAGTCAATAAACACAGTTTGCCATGGGAAACCACCCTTATGGTATTGTCAATGCAGTATTTTTGTAGAAATTGTTGAAAATATCTAAAAGTCACCGCTGTTAACAGTTACTGTTTATGAAGTCTCAGTTCTGTATATTTGTTGCATACATGGCTGGAAAATCAGCTAAAGAAGGGAAATGATCGACTACAGGAGTAATACAAAAAAACTGAAAAGGCAAAGATCAGTGATGGCAAAATGCTAGTGAGAAACTAAAATGTTTTGTGATAAAAAAGTCAGGGGAGAGGAAACATTGAGGATAACATGAGAAGATGAACTGGCAATCATCTCATGATGATCATGATATTCAAAAGTTTGCTTTAGAGGTATAAAAGAGATGTGATTGTGATAAAAGGGGTTGCATGAGTAATAACTGATGTATAGAAGGTTTACAAATAAGCCTCGTCTGTCATTCATGTATTAATAATAACAACTGCAATTGTCCATTCTGGCTGCTGCGTTGAATAGCAATATCGCATTGTAAAGTAGAATTTAATCAAAGGACAGTTTAAGTTCAGGCGTTAGGCCTGTTAATTTCCAAATCGTCAAGATGTGCTGAAATGTTCCCTGCCCAGATTCTTTTCTGATCAGAATAATGATACCAGATCAGGTGCAATTTTATCCTGTATACATAGGTGTTGTTTTCAAAACTGATGTTCATATACTGCTTTTATGTTTGTAGTTGAAGGGTGTGGGTTTTTTTAATGCATGATTGTATGGTAGTTTTATATATCTTACATTACATGTTATGACTGATGTCGAAAATGGACACTCTTTCAATTAAAACAGCATTTTTATCATGTATTATATCATATATATATTTTAACAGTTAAATTAGTCTATTGTTAGCAAAAAATAAGTTTGGTTCGGAGAGGTTTTAGTATAAACTAAAGAGGATAATACACAAATTATATTATTTTTTATGGAATGTGATTAACATTGAATTAAAGAATGAGCTGGAACTCATTATATACTTTTGAGCTTAGTTAAATATATTTACACACACACACAAACACATATATATATATATTACATATTTTGAAAATTTTTACTAAATTTTCCCATTCAAAAGTGGAATAGTGTAATTCGGTGGACAATTTGTAATGATATTGTTTTTAACGAACGACACAACAGAATGACTGTTAAACTTCTTTATTACAGTTTGTTAGTCATGTTATCAAGCAAGGGATGTAATAAGAGTTATTCAATGAACAAAAGGATAAAGGTCGTATCTATGCTGAGTGAATCATTGTGTACACAGTTGACTACAGTGGGTTAAGAGAACTGATTTAGTTATTTGTATCCAGTCATACAACCATATGGTCACTACCAGTGTAATCATTGTAGTTAGGAAGATGATCATCCAAACGCCCATTAAGTGTTACTGAAAGATTCTTGTAGTGGGCATGGTAGACTAAGGCTTAGTCTCTGAATATATATAATTTTGATAGTAACAAACAAGCCCATTTATATTGAAAAGGAGCCCTAGGGAGACCAGAGATTCAGAGGAAATCTAGACTTGCTTTATTTAGGGCTTTAGCACTGCAGAGAGGGCTTGGCAGTAGGGAAATTAATGTGGTTCAGGGACTGTGAGACAGACTATGGGCATGGTGATATGTTGTTCCCCAGGCAGGGCCCTGTGACCTTAGTGCTTTGAATGTCAAAAATTAGTGTGGTGTCTTGCTTTTGCAAATGAGGCTGAAACAAAATAGGCTTCTTTTCACCCATATGCCTTAATTGAAATGGTTGTGCACAAAAACTGTTCAATTTCTGGGATTCTGTATGTTGTCTTGAGGGACCTGCAAAGCTTTTACTTCCCTGAACAGTTTGTCCTCCGAAATGGATTTATTCTCAGTTTTCTTCAGCCAGATATGTTATCAGACAATGTTTAGCTGTGTAACAAAATCCATTATTAAACCATCACTCTCTTATTGTTAAAAATGATTCTAAGTCAAGTATCCGCTGGGATTCTTAACATGCATCTTGTGCAAAACTGATGTAAGTTTAGGTCATTAAGCAAAATTGTATTTTTGTTTTAACAATCAAAATATGGTGAAAGTCAGAGAAGTCACTGGATCCTTATGATACATTATGGAATGTTTAAGGTTTCTTCGAGATAGGATTTGAAATACTAGTCTAACTGGTGGTGCAGTACAGTAACAGGTCTCTTGCTATGAGTAATGCCATTAGCTTTAATGATAGACATTCATTTACAAGTGTTGTCATTTAATTGTATGTTTCACTTCTGTTTTATCATTTTCTGTAGCTTCGCTTTCATTGAAATGAAATATTTATTATTATGTAAAAAGGCTTTTGGTGCACAATAAATGTGGACAATCTATAGAAGTCAATATTTCATTAATTCTTTCTGTGCGTATCACACTTTGTGTTGAATTGATTTGCTGGCTGTATATCCTTCTGAGCTAATGATTGGTATGTAAACGTATGAGATCATTATACATTGGGTGTCATGGTTTTAGGAATTTAGATACGGTATTATCTTGTAACGGAACATGTTCTCAAGGAATGTATGATTCCACCGTTTCATGCTTAATGCATATCCTCCAAAAAGAACTACTGCCGAGTAGAATAGTTTGTTTTCTTTGTTTGGCCAGACCAATTTATCGTCTCCTTTTAGGCCTTATGCATAACTTTGGTCAATGTGTCAAGGACAACATAAACAAAAGCATGTATTTTTATTAATTTCCTGTATGAAGATCTCCCTGATTATGTTTCCAGGTTTGTCAGCATGATTCCCATGATCTGGCGCGCTTCACCAAAGAGGTCTGAGACCCATATCACTTCGGGCTTTTATATCACATTAGGCAAGAATGTAAATGAAATATTGTTCCAAAGTGGCATTAAGCCCAACTCACTCCTTCACTTTATAATCGAAAAAAATAGTTTTCACCAAAATTTAAACAAACAAAACATATTTTCTGGCAAACTTTTTTGTTCTGTTTTTTATTTGACTATGTTGACCGTACAGGGCTCATAATAACAGACATCCATTTGGTCTGTCTTTGCATAGCAGACTCTGTATTTTATGGGATGTATGTGAGAATAATTGGTCTACCAGAGAGAATGTTTCTTTCTCCAGCAGCTAGCATTTGGGGAACTGATATTAAGCAGCATAGTGGAGGTATTATTCAAGTTCAATCCGTTTATTCAGTACTAAAGAGGCCACAGGTCTGTCGTACATTTACAATATGCATATGGTAGAATATAAGCAATCATTAACATGAATATTACATAACTCAATTAAGACATGACAGTCTTTCGTAAGTTTAGAGCATTGAATATAAATGCTGATTAGAGAATTATGCGAACTCATTATTTAAGTCAAATCCTCAAAATGGTGCTCATACAAGCTTGTGGAAGACTAGCTACTTGATCTGATGCAAATCACATGTAACTCTACAAGTTCTTTTCATGTAAATCATGTCAAATACCCATTACCCAAGACAGGTGTGGCCAGGTCAGACTCAGTTGATAACACATTGAGTGTGATGTAGTTTCAGCGATGTAACATGAATATTGCTGACTACAGTGTCAAACAATATTTTCTCTCTTCAGGCAGAGATTTTGATTTCAAATAATATAGACAAATTATCAATATCGATCTTGTACCTATTTTATATATTTATCTAAATTGTATTTAATGAGGTATAAGTTGTTGTGTGTTCGTGATTCTTTTGTTTGTATTAGTTGAATATTTGCTTATATGTGCAGATTCAGTTACATCTTGCTTTTGGTTAATGGTTATTCCTGAATATCTTCAATTTAGACTTGTCATTTAGATTTCTGTTTAATGTGTAGTGCACATTTGGATGGTGATCTTGAAGTTTTCAGCAAAATAAGACTAGGTATGTATCTGTGAAGCAATAACTCCATGTGGTATTTGTACTTTTGATATGGAAATTTGTTGTGATAAGCATAATAAAAGTCAGCCTTATTTACAAAGCTATTTGATGTCAAGTAACATGGAGAGAAGTACAAAACAGAAAAAGGAATTTTCATATGGATACAATCAGTACTTTATGATAATGAAATAAGATTGGTTATTGCCACTAAAAATGTGTTTTATTTGGTCTTTGAATGGCATTTATTCCTTTATGTACTCTATGACACAAAATGAGTACTTACTGCCCTTTACAACTGTCTTGTTTGTGTCATAGCTTCAAGAATAGCAACACAGCATAATAATACCAACCACTGTTAAACCATAACTTATTTTAGTACTGGTAGGTTCAGTCTTCTTCATATTTGGGAGTGTTTGTCCAGTCACATTATTAGTAATATGGATTGTATAAACATTTAAACTAATGCATACTAAACGAATTGCGTGTTTGGTCACTCAGTAGTTTGCTTTGTCTAAGACATTGTAATCACTACTGTATAGAATTTATACCTTTAGGCATACCATGTTAATTGGTTTGAATCCCAGAGTGGAATGATCACCAGAATGTAAGGTTTCAACTAATTATATATTTAGGAAACAAGAACAACTGTTCAGTGTCAGTCCTCAAAATGGAAAATTGGAAATGATGTTGAACACTACGTATCTTCTTTCAGATGTGCCTATTGAAATTGTGTGTTATACTGTTGAATAGCAAGGTATGCATGGCCAGTTTGCATTTATCTTGTGGACTTTTCAACTGATACTCTTGCATGATATGCACTGAAACTTGTGACCAGATATATATTTTCTTACATTCCAATGTTTTTACATCACTTAACAATATATGTTTTTTGTATGTTATTTATGATTTGTTATATCTTCAACCATCGAAGTTACTGTGGTATATTAAATATTGTATCTCACCCGATGTTATTTTTCTTACGTATATAAGATATCATTCATCAGTACCTCCATCCATTATATATGCCTTCTTTGTATAATTGTGTATGTGTGTCCTGTTAAGTGTGTTGTGCTACTTGAATCTGTGGAGAATTAGCTATTAACTCAGCATTATATAACTGCAAAGAGTCTCCACAGTCTAGAGGTGTCCTAGCTGTCCACTAGAAGCCTAGGTTTTCATTTGTCAATTTTCTTTGATTCTGTACTAATTGTAGATTGGTGAACATTTCACTTTCACTTATTACAGTTTAATGTTGTCATTTTGTATTTAATTCTGTTCCTTGAAACATACTATACCGTAACGGTTGGTTTATTATGAACTTAAATGGGTTGTTAAATTGGGTTTTTGGGTCCAAAGTCATTTTGATATTTCTAAATTTGGTGTATTAGTTTTAATTGGTCTCGTATACCAACTGTAACAATTTATAAAGAGCTATTGCACTGCTCACCCTCATATGGTTCTGGTAAAAAGCAGACAACACGTTTCATAAAAGGATGCTTATCAGTGTATCACTGGTACAGATATGATGTTTGAGTGACATGGTCAGTGTATGACCTATTTGTCACACATATGATTCTGGATCATTTAACTTCTGTTTCCACATTAGTGCCTCCAAAGTATATAATTTTTCTCACAGTGTACAAACATAAAGGTATGATTCATGTATATGTATGTCTGTTATAGATTGTTGATCCTGGCAATGGTTTATTGCTGTAATGCAGAGGCTGATGGTTATTTTGTTAGGTTAGACTTGGTTACACCTACATCTGTAATCGTATGTATCAGTTTGGTAATAAAATGTTTGCATTTTGTTGAAAGGAAGGTTAGGTTGTGTGTGTTTTCTAATGTAACAATTACATTAGGAAGACTTGTTTTGCACTTTGTTTGCTCATTATTTTGGGGGTTTTTTTTTGGTTTTTTGTTTCATTATATAGCAATGTTCCTGTTGGCAGTATGACAGTTTTCTGTGGATAACGGAGTCCAGTGATGGACCTAACAAGTGGACAACAGGGATATGACAGTGTATGAAATAAGGCCCATCCGACCGCCCGAGACGGGCTAGATTTCTGACGGATGGTCTAGATTTACAGCTAGCCAGCCTGATGGTGTGGTAAAAAATTTAGATGTTGCATACATTTGAGTAAATTCACCATATCTTGGTGACTTGTCTGGTTAAATCCATTTGGGGCTGGTAACATTTTCAAGTTACCAGCCCTGATGTCTGGCTGGGTTTTTGGCTTATTTCATACACTGGATATGATGACAGGCATTAAACAATTAAGCAAGCTTGACATCTTCTAAATTGACTCCTACATGTATTGGTTGCCAAAAAAATAATCTTCAGGTGGCAGTTTGCACTTCGTGTTTAGCCATGAGTAACGGATACTCAGAGGCCCAGATAAGCTGCGTATCCGGGTAAAATACGCATAGAAAATTTCCAATTACGCATTGAAAAATAAATGTAGCGTACCAATTACGCATTTAAAATGTTAGATACACAAAAAGTTTAAAACAAATGCGTACGGAATATATTTATAAAAATCGCTTGCGTAATGAAAAAGACATCGATTGCTATCAAGTTGTACTGTTAGTATAGGACTAGTGTTGTACTGTCAGTATTGGATGAGTGATTTTTTTATGAAA